GACACATGGTTGTCACGTCAAAGTTGCGTAAGTTGTCGCTATCAAACGATTTTTGGCGCCAACCTTTGCATTTATTCCCTAACGCAGCTCGTAGATGGAGTTGTCGACGGCGCAGCAACAACAAGCTCACTCTGTAGTCTTCTCAGGGCACCAACAGCGAGCCGCACACCCAGGAGATCGTAGTCCTTGGGTAGTACTCGTAGTAAAAGCACTCGTCGTTATAATCAAATCCTGACCTTATTCCTATTCTATGACACGTAGAGCACTCGCCCGTCGCGCGACAGTCGGCGGCCGTCGTCGCTCCTCGTTGTTTCGACTTCATAGTCGTCCAACGGGCCTGGCGAGAGCAAATGAACGGGCGTTGGGGGTTGCATCTCGTCGACACCGGCGGCTTCGTCGGGCTTTGGGTACGCGGCTTTGAACCAATCGAGCGCGAGGAGCGCACCGAGACCGCACGGAAGGAGAAAGTTGATGATGTGAAAAATGTACCGCCAATGCCCCGACTTGGCCCTGGACCCGCCCGACGACCGCGTGCGATTGCGCTTCAAGTTGTTGGTCGCTTGTCGGAACGTCCAGTCGAGGCGCTTGACAAGGAACGGGACGCAGAAGAAGACAAAGAGCGCAATCAAGAGCAGAATGAACCACTGGACGCGGCGCATGGCCCGCTGCCGAGCAAGCGGCCACCGGTTGATGGAGCGACGGAGGAAGATGTAGACGCAGATGAGCGAGCCGCCGGCGAGGATCGCGGCGAGCGCATCAAAGACAACCGTGGTGCTCACGATCCAGCAAAAGACGCTGTGGGTTGCCGTGGGCGAGAGGCTCGTAAAGAAGACTACGACGACGTACACGGCCGTGAGGCCATACACGAGCTTGGAGTAGCCGACGACGATCCTGCGCATGTGGGTGCGCGATTGGCGTGCCAAGAGGTGGTGGTACGCAATGCTCGTGTAGAGCTCAAAGGACGCGACGAGCACCCACAGCTCGAGCGAGAGGAGGAACGCGTCAGCGAGTACTTGGAGCGGAATGTTCTTGGTGTGCTGGCAGCTCCGGCGGTAGCGTCGCAGAGTGCTGTTGGGATCACTGGAAGCAGCGTCGTTGTCGTTGTCGAACGACCTTTCTTCAAAGTACATGAAGACGATGCTGAAGAAGCTCCAGAGCATGAGCGAGAGAAACATGGAGAAGGTCACGTAGAGCGGCGGCGCCGAGAGCACGCCGCGGCGGTGCTTGACGTAGAGCGCGAGCAGCACGAGGGCCGCGAGCCCGAGGAGGCTTCCGGACGCGACGTAATCGACCGTGTCAAAGAGGTCCATGTCCATTACTGGTCGAGCCCGAGACCCAGTACTCGGACAAATGGGTGTCGTGGAGTCTTCCAACGTCGTGGCGCCACCATGGGATTTACACTTTCCACGGCTGTTTTTCCCATCGAATTTGTGTTTTGCTTTATATGACATACATAGAAGCAAGTCATACAATAGAAAATCGGGATGCCATGGGCGAAACCGGCACCACTTGCCCGCAATGGAGGGGGAAAGGACGTTTAACCCAGGTGGGACAAACAAGACTGCACACATGCGAGTAATAGACAGGACGCCGTGTGTTGCATACAAAACCCAAGACAAAGCTGATGGATCAAGGAGCTGGTCAGCAGCCATCAGCACATCCTTGTGCCAAGTTGCTAGCTTTCCCACTTCCATCGAGCGAACGCGTCGAGTGTTTTGTCGACCAAAGAGAATAATACTTGCACGGCCAAGTACTGTGGCCAACGAAGCTCAAAGGATTGCTCCGAGCGACTTGCTCGCGGCTGTCCAAGGGCCGAATCAGAGCGGCGCGCTGGCAACCAAGCCAGTGGTGCACGTTTCTTACCGGTACCACGATCCATGACCACGATCACAGCTCACGATCACCGCATCACTGGATATTTTCATTCGTTGTGCCCTCGACGCCCGAGAGCGACCTCCAAAGCACCTAATATTGACGCTTTTTGGGCCTATCGATGGAGGCACGACCTTCACGGCCATCGTGCGATGAGTTCTGAGTTGCTCCGCTAGCGTACCGGTCGCGAGAGATTTTACATTTCCTGACAGCGTCGTTGCACACAAGAGAGAACTAGAGAGAACGTAGCCCTGACTGTCGAGTGTACTACGCACGCAGGACGTTGTAAGCTAACGAAGAGTGGCGCCAGCGCAGTGATGCATGTCGACTATGGTCACACTATTTCGATTTCACTCTAATTCATAGTTGTATTCTATTCACGTTTCCACACTATTTGCTGAAGTGCGTATCCGGTCGTGGATCCAAAATCCGGATAGATGGAAGAAGCAGCACGCATGGGCGGAGCCGACGAGGAAGAAGTCGCGGTCTTCACCTTTGGCCAGGTACGATGCGAATACGCAGACGTTGCCATGGGCTAAGCCGAGGCCGCGCACAGAACTCGTACGGTGAGCTCGGCCACGGCGACACGACGACGCGCTTTGTGCCCACGAAGCTCGAGTTTGCCGTCGGCAAGAACATCGTCGACGTCGCTTGTGGCAACGAAAACACTGTGCTGCTCTGCAGTACGTTTCGCCGCTATGGCTATAGCTCACACGCTGGCTAGGCAACGGCGACGTCTACGCATGCGGCTACAACGACAGGTGCGCAATTTCGCATCGAGACTATGTAGCATCGATGCTATAACGTAGCGGCCAGTGCGGCATTGGCACTGCCCAGCGCGTCACGTCCTTTAAAGCGCTCATGGCGCTCTGCGAGAAGCAAGTCGTCAAACTCAGCGCTGGCAACGGCTGCGAACACGTCGTCGCCGTCACGGGTGCCGTCCACGTCATTATATGCAGTGCATCATGGCCTGTTAGAGACCGGCGACGTCTACACGTTTGGGTACAATGCACGGGGGCAGCTCGGCCACGGCAACACGCAGCCGGTCGCTGTACCGACGCTGGTCGACGGCCTCGTCGGCAAGAGCGTCCTCAAAGTCTCTTGCAGCTACTTTCACACGATCGCCGTGACCGAAGACAACGAAATGTATGCGTTTGGCCGCAACGATTTCGGGCAGCTGGGCATTCCGGATGCGCTCGACAAGCAAGTGCCGACGCCAATTCCGTTCTTCAGCCGCCAAAAAGTGCTCTCGGTCGCCTGCGGGCAGTACCACAGCGTCGTCTCGCTCGGTACGTCACCGTCGCTCCCTCCGGTTCTGATGGTATCTCTGAAATAGCAAATGGCGGCGTCTATGCCTTTGGCAAAAATGACTTTGGGCAGCTCGGCGTCGAGTCGCCGGGTGTGAAAGCGTCGCCTGTCCGGATCAGTGCGCCCTTGGACACGGACGTTGTCGTGCACGTCGCGTGCGGCTATTACCACACGATGGCGCTCACCCAAGCCGGCAAGCTCTACGCATTTGGCCGCAACGACTTTGGTCAGCTCGGGCTTGGGCACAAGCAAAACATGTACCGTCCGACGGTACATTACTACGCCAAAAATGTCGACGCTTTCGTATGGAGTGACAGGCTTACATGGTAGCTTGTCGCGACGCTGAGCGAGTTTACGATCGTCGACGTCGCGTGCGGCTGCTACCACACACTGGCGCTGCGTGACAACGGCGTCGTGTACCCGTTCGGCCGCAACAACCACGGCCAGCTTGGCACCGACAACAACGTGGATGCTGCGCTCCCGACGTACATTGAAGCGCTTCGGGACGTCCGAGTCCGCAAGGTACTCGTCTTTTGTTCCGAGTCGCCTTGCGCTATGGGCAAGTAGATTGCCGCTGGGTTTTACCACACGGTTTGTGTCACGGGGCCCATCCAGCGGGCTCTCGCGCCAGTCGTGCGCAGCTCGCTCGGGCGCGACCTCGGCTCACTCTTAAACAACCCGAGTCGCAGCGACGTGACGTTTCTCGTCGATGACCGCCCAGTGTACGCGCACCGGTGCATTCTCATGGTGCGCTGCGAGCCGCTGGACGCAATGCTCAACGGCAGCATGCGCGAGAGCACAGCAACCGAGATTGTGCTTCCCCACACCCGCGTACGTTGACATCTACATCTTGTTCCAACAGACAATATTGTATATGGACTAGCATCCGGTGTTTGTCGCGATGCTCGAGTACATTTACACGGACGCAGTCGTCGCGCTCGAGTACCCGGCGGCGCTCGACATTGGTTGAGCATGCTATCGATTGGTGCGTTTTGTGCTGATAGATTGATACATAGAGTTTGTGCTCGAGCTCATGGCGCTCGCCGACCAATTCCTTCTCGACAACCTCAAGCTGTACGGACATTGCTCGGTGCTAACGTCACATTTTGCAATAGAAAGTGCGAGTGGGCGATTCAAAAGAGCATCGAGCCGAGCAACATCACCAAACTGCTCGAGGTATCGACGACAATAGCGTTCCCAGACGTAGTGCCGTTCGTAGACGGCCTACTTCCAGCACGCGCAGTACCTCAAGAAATGCTGCATCGACTTTGTCTTGGCGAATTTTGGCCTCGTCATTGCCAACCCGGTATCCGTCTGTTCTGTGTAACCCTATCCCACGACCGCTGCGTAGCACTTTGTCGAGCTGCCGCCGGACGTCATGCAAGAGATCCTGATCGCCGCGTCCCGCCGCGGCGTCATCATCAAACCCATGTAGTCGGCAAGGTGGAGCGTACGCAACATTTTTTGTCTACAATTATACCACTTGGGTTTTCTACTTGAGCTCCGTGAGCATCGCGATCGGGTTCTCCAGATACGCCTTCCACTTGGTCGAGAAGCGCGCCATGGTCGCGCCGTCAATGACGCGGTGGTCGCCCGACCACGAGACGTTCATGACCTTGACGGGCACGACGCTGCCGTCGGCCGCAAAGCGCGGCAGCGTCTGGATTTTGCCGAGCGCGCCGATCGCGACCTGCGGCACCATGATGACGGGGCTCATGTACGTGCCGCCGATCGAGCCAATGTTGGAGAGGCTAAAGGTGCCGCCCGTAAGGTCCGCGGGCCCGAGCTTGCCGTCGGCGCCGAGCTTCTGGAGACGCGCGAGGTCCTCAGCAATGTCTAGCACCGACTTGGACTCGACGTTCTTGACGTTCGGGACGAGGAGACCCTTGGGCGTGTCCATGGCCACCGAGATGTTGTGCTGCGCGTGCATCGTGATGCTCGACTCGTCCTCCGAGACGGACGCGTTGAGCACCGGGTAGTACTTGAGCGCGAGCGACGCCGCCTTGATCATGAGCGGGAGGTACGTGACCTTGACGCCGCGCGCCGACGCGATCGGCTTGAGCGTGTTGCGGAGCTCGTCGAGCGCGTTCATCTCAATCTGTTGCGGAGAGAGCAAGAGATGAGTTATAGAATGTAGAGCGATGCGAGAGGCGTGTACCTCGTCGGCGTAGCCAAAGTGGGGCACCTTCAAGGCCGCGTTCATGGACTTGACCATCATCTTTTGAATGGCTACGGGCAAGAGATGAGACGGGAGGTGAATGGTATCACATTCGTACGCGTCACGGGCACGGTCGTGCTCTCGGTCAAAAACTCAAAGGCAGGCGTCGCCGATGCCGACGCGGGGGCCACCGACGAAGCCGACGGCGTCGCGACCGGCGCAGGAGCCGCCTTGTTCTCGGCCAAGTACTTGATGTAGTTGAGGACATCGCCCTTCAAGATGCGGTCGCCCTCAGCCGGCACGTCTTCCAAGTCAATGTTGTGCTCGCGCGCGAGACGGCGCACGGACGGCGTCGTGAGAAACTTGCCGCCGGTCGACGGGCGCGTGATCGGGAGGCGCGCGACGGGTTCGGCAGATACCGGCGTCGGGGCCGACACGATCGGCGTCGGCGTCGGCGCGGCCTTCTTGATTGGCTCGACCTTCTTGGCCGGCGCCTTGGACTTGGGCGCGCTCGAGGCATTCTGGGCTGCCGCAACTTCGTCCGAGACGTCGAGGTCGATGAGCGCGCTCCCGACCTTGGCCATCTGACCCGGCTCGTAATGGAGCTTTGTGATCGTGCCATCGAAGCGGCTCGTGATCTCGACCGTCGCCTTGTCCGACTGCACTTCGACGAGGTTCTGGAACTGCGCGATCTTGTCGCCGGGCTTGACAAACCACTGGAGCACTTCGACCTCGGCGATGCCCTCGCCAATGTCGGAGAGCTTGAACGAGATCTCAGGCATGGCCACGGCACGGGAGCTATGGAAGCCGGCGCGGGTCGACGCGAGGAGGCTGCGGCGCAAGGTCAACATCATCGAGAGGCTGCAAAAGTAGAAATGTTCAAAACTTCGTTTGCACTTCGAATCGCCCGACGCTTTTACACTTGATGTTTGTATGCCACCACGCAACGGCCAATTAACCTGCAACAGAGAGACCTTGGGGTTTGTATACACACGGCAAGTGTGCCACCTGGCGCCTGGCGCATGTGACAGATGACTCATGACCGCTCCTGCAGTGTCGTCTGGGTGCGGCACGGTACCTCCCAGGTAACGCGGCGACCGGCCAGTCAGTAGCCGTCCAGAAACCGCTCGTAGTCGTCCTTGTCGCCCGGCCTTGCCTTGTGGCCGTGCGAGGGCGAGCGCGCCGAGGAAGGAACTCGCCCTGGAAGCCGACGGGCTTATGCAGCCGGCGCCGTGCCATGTCACAGCCTTGAAGTTCAAGGAGGCCTCCCACTGTGGCCGTACGTACGAGCTGGGTACCGAATTCCGGCGGCCGTGAGATCGACTCGTACCATACATCGTACATTGTACATTGTACATTGCATAGAGTGCGAAGTGAAAGCGTACGGGCAGGACGGGACGCGGGGCGGGAGGACACTCTCAAACGGCACTATCGGGCGGATGACATGGAATCTTCGTACTTCGAAGTACGAACGCTGGAGATTTCACTTTGCATTTCGTCGTCTGTCGCACTCGACCACACACCATGCTGCCCTCGACGCGCCGCCTCAGCACGCTCGCGTCCTCGACGCTCCGCCGCCAGTTCGCCTCGACGCCGCTCGTCACGGAGCGCATGAACATGTTCACGGCGCTGAACGATGCGATGCGCGTGGCCATGGAGACCGACCCGACGGCGGTCGTCTTTGGCGAGGACGTGGCGTTTGGCGGCGTCTTCCGCTGCACGGTGGACCTGAAAGAGCAGTTTGGCGAAGACCGCGTCTTCAACTCGCCGCTCTGCGAGCAAGGTATCGCGGGCTTCGCCATCGGCTATGCGAGCATTGGCCGCACGGCGATTGCGGAAATCCAGTTTGCCGACTACATTTTTCCTGCGTTTGACCAGATTGTGAACGAAGCCGCCAAGTTCCGGTACCGCTCGGGCAACCAGTTTGACTGCGGCAAGCTCACGTTCCGTGCGCCGTACGGTGCTGTCGGCCACGGCGCGCACTACCACTCGCAGTCGCCCGAGGCGTACTTTGCGCACACGCCGGGCCTCAAGGTCGTCATTCCGCGCAACCCGACGCAGGCCAAGGGCCTCCTCCTCGCATCAATCCGCGACCCCAACCCGGTGAGCTCTCACTTCTTATTGCCGTGCTCACACCTACGCTGTAGGTTGTCTTTTTCGAGCCCAAGGCGCTCTACCGCGCGTCGGTGAGCGACGTGCCCGTCGGTGACTTTACCGTGCCCCTCGGCCAAGCCGACATTATGCGGTCGGGTACCGACATTACGATTGTCGGCTGGGGCGCGCAGATGCGCGTCCTCGAAGACGTACGTGGCGTTATGCGCTCCACAATATATCCTGAGGCTCTTGGACTAGGCGTGCGACATGGCCGAAGAGGCCGGTGTGAGCTGCGAGCTCATCGATCTGCAGACGATTACGCCGTGGGACGTCGACACGGTCGAGCAGTCGGTGCGCAAGACCGGTCGCCTCATCGTGTCCCATGAAGCCCCGGTACAGTGTGCATCTTGATCGCCGACGTCACCTCACTGTCTGGCTAGAAAACCGGTGGCTTTGCGTCCGAGATTGCGTCGACGATCCAAGAGCGCTGCTTCCTCAACTTGGAGGCGCCGGTCCAGCGCGTCTGCGGCTACGACACGCCGTTCCCGCTCGCGTACGAAAAGGTAATGCTCATCTCGACCACGTCAAGTCGGTCGGACTCACTCGTTGGCTAGCTGTACCTCCCCGATGCGCTCAAGAACTTTGAGGCAATCAAGCACGCCGTCAACTACTAGTCGCATTGTATCTAACACCGTCCCCCGTTTAGAGTCGTCTGTCTAGCGCGTAGGGGTACTGGCTTGGTCGACGTCGTGCATCGCAGCTTCGCAGTACTGGCAAAAGAGCTGGGTCTGGGCAAACTCGGCGTAAAAGTGCCGGTGGCCGCTGGCCGCTGTGGCCTTTTCAAACTCTTCTTGAAGGACATCGTACGACGACTTGGCTACACGATCCACTTGCATGAGCCATCGACGAGGCATGGTCAACGGTACATACTGGCGTGGGGCAACAGCGGAAGGGTGGTGATGGCGCCGCACAGCGTCGAGAAGAGACACTCGGTCTTGGACACGGCGAGCGAGAGCACATCGTTCTCCGCATCTGAATCCACATGTGAGAACACGAGCGAAGGAGTCGGAAATGGGGACCCGAGAGGTCGTGCCACGGGTGGGGCGGCCGCGCGGGCAGTGCGCGCATCTTGGCTTGGCAGTCGCTGAGCACCGTCTCGAGCTCGCGGCTCGTTGGAAACGGCGTCGGCGCAAACGGTGACGCAACGTCGTCAGCCTCGACGTGCACAAAGCACACGTCCGGCCACTCATCGTGTGCAAAGCCGTTGTGGACTCCAACGAGGTACGGCACGGGCGAATGTAGAAAGTCGAGCAGACTCGACGGTAGCACCGGAATGTACGTCGACTAGACACAACAATATTGTCATATACCATTACGACAAGACAAGACAGAGTCCTCATTTTCTTCCCTTGCGACAAGAAAGGCCGTACCTGCCACTGGAACGGCCGAAGGAGCACGACAAACGCGGCGCTCACGGCGGCGAGCTTGGCGGTCGAGTCGCTGACGATAGCGACTTGCTTCTCCAAGAGCAAATGCCCGAGCACGAGCACAATGTTGTCGGCCGAGAGGAGCGACAGCAGCACGGCAACAGTCCACTCGTCCGTGCGCGCCATTGGAAACTAGTCGAAAGAATCGCGCTTGATACAACCTTTAGGGGTCTACCTGGTATTTGACGTCGCAATGACCGAGCCGGACGCTGGTCCAGGACCCGGCCTCGCCGACCTTCATGCTGCGGTACCGTCGCAAGAGCTACAAAAGCGTGGCATCAACAGCCGCTGCGTGATGCCGCTGAGCGTACTTCCAAGACCGTGGACGACCCGCGACCGCGCTCCAAGCGCGCATTCGACGACGCCCGTCTTGGAGCTTTTGTCACGATGCGCTGGAAGCGGAGCTTGAGCGGACGCTTGGCCGAGTCGAGAAGACGCAACGACTCGGCAAACGCAAGGTCGCCTAGCCAAGTACACTTACCATACATTCTTTCGCAAACCGACCACATACCAATGGGAAAGCCGTTGATAGCGACGAGAAGGTCGCCGACGCGGACGCCGGCTTTGCCCATCGACGCCTCCACCGAGTCGACAATAGCCTGGACGCGAGGTCTCGCCGCCGCTGCACTGAGGGGCAAGGCGCGTTTCTTGCCAGACGCCGACCAGCTCCGGCTGCGGTAGAAGACGCGGGGCGCCACGTCCTTTGTTGGCGGCGGCGCCATCGCACGTCGGTCGTCCGTGAGCGTCACGCTGCCATCGGGCGCCTTGGTGGCAGGCGTCGCAATTGCATCCAAGAGACGCACGTCTTTCTCCGAGAGACCTGCCTCGGACGGACCCACGTCGTCCTTGCGCTTGAGCGTCAGCCCGAGCAACGGCTGGTGCACCGTCACCTACACCAGACAACCGTGCATCTGGCACTCGAAACAGCAACGGTACGTCGACAAACGTCGGCCGGTGCAGCGCCGACTGGGCCTCGCGCGCGACTTGCCGGCTGCGCATGTCGGCTTCGATGAGCGTACGCAAAAACTAGAATGCAATTTGAGAAGAGGAAACAGCGAGTCGAGTCGACGTGGTAGTGGAGCTTGTAGAACGGGTACTTGCTCGTGACGCAGTAGCTCCGCGGCGTGAGCACGACGGGCGACTCTTCAAAGAATGCGCCGTCCTTGTCCGTGAGCGGGGACGCCAAGATGCCGGCGAGCGAGTGAAATGTCGCATCGCGCGGCAGCGACCGCGGTTTGCTCGGCGCGACCCCATCGGCATCCGAGTCGGAGTTCATCGCGTCTAAATGGCCGCTGTCGAGCAAGAGCGGCGGGTCGTCGGCGTCCATGAGCACGGCGGCGCAGAGCCCGTAGAGCGCTTCGCCTTTCGAACCCGTGAGCCGGAATGTGTACGTCTGCGCGTTGAACGGCTACACGTCCATTCACATCAAGCAACGCTGGGCACTCGAAGAGCTGACCTCGAGGAGCTGGCGAAAGCAGCTCGCAGCGTCGCTCGTCCACTGCGAGATGAGCGACCCACGGAGGCTCTCGGCGTCGGCGACCGAGCACGAAAACGCCGGTGCGCCGACGGGGAAGCAAAACCCGCTGACTGCTTGGTCATTCAAGGGATAGACCGCCTAGCGCCAAATCTGGTTGTCTGCTGCTACCGTGAGAATACTACCGCAGGCGGGTACTGGAAGAGAATGGCTGGCTTCCAAAAGCCGACAGGCGACTCGCCCTCGAGCACGGGCTCGATGGCCGACGACGACGCTGGGATCCCAGCGATGAAGAAATGCTCGAAAATCCGATCGCGCTTGCCGTGGAAGCACGTGATCGACTTGGCGAGCGTCTGCAGCCGCTTCGAGCTCGACCGGTATCCTGCGTGGAACGTGCGTGCGTAGAGGAGGTTGAGCATCATGGCCTGGCCTTCCTCCTTTGCATCGTGCCGAGGCGAGAGTGAGAAGGGAGCGTGGCCAATGTCCATCGTGCTCGACCGCACCGAGCGCGTGGGCACGGTCGCCGGCGGCTGGTCCAGCAGCAGGTGCAGCGGTGGCGGCGACGTATGCCGGCCTCGGCTCGACGGACCTTGCTCGTCGTCGGTCGAGTCTTCGTCGTCGCCATCCAGGTCAAAGGATGGCAGCGTCGGGCTCAGGATCGCCGACGTCTCGTTCGGGTCGCTGACGCATCGATACATGAGCCTTCCGCCTCGTCGAGACGTCGAGGCACCTGAGGATGCTGGCGAAGCGTCGCACCAGCGCTTCGTTCTGCGACGTCTTGTTCTGCTCCTGCTGCAGCACAACGACCAGCGTCTTGGTCATTTCCCGCCGGCGCTCACGCTCGGCAATGTACTTCTTCTTCCACGCCGCCGCCTCCCGCAGCGCCTGCGCCTTGGCCCGCTACCCATACGCGCCGATCCACCGCGGCCACAAGATCGGTCAGGAAGGGTCTACCTCAGCCTCCTCGCACCGCGTCTGCCACATGCCCGCCGTCGCCATGAACAATGACAACGCCGTCTCTGAGATCCCAACGTGTTTGCGACGACGCTGGGTGGCAAGCGCTCAGTTGCGTTTTAAATAATAAAGAGCGATATCAAACGCCGATACAAAGGCTTTGTATTCGACGACAGCCCGCTGGTGAAGGCCAGTGGCTCCAAGATACCAGCGCGAAAAGCCTTGGATCTTCTGTCTTCTTTTCGATTGCTGGCTGGCGCTGCCACGTGGCACCTCGACGACCCAACGGCAATGTCAACCGGCTGCGTTCGTTGCCGGGATACGGAAGGCACTCGCTGGAGCTAGTACAATTAGTGTACTCTGTGCTCTCCACAACTACCGGTACTACTACACAGTAGTATTTGTACAGACTTGCACAGAAGTTGGCGACGACACCAACTGGGACGAGACAAGTCGATGTCCAAAAAGCTTGCCTGAAAAAATCGGGTCGGCTGACAGGGCGTGCGGTGGCCGCACCGCAGGTGCGACCCCGTACACCGCGAGGCCGTCACTGCTTTCATCGACACCTTGTGAAGGACTCGTGGGACCGAGCGCTGGTGGGGCGGCACCGGTGCAGCGCACGCGGTGGCAGGGCGACGCACCACCGCTCTCGGTAGCCAATCAGCTGTCGCCACCCGCTTGGCCGTTCTTTAAAATGGTGGTCGTTTAACTTGCGGTTTGTATGCCAACGGCGGTCTTTCGTTGACTTGCGGTTAGTATACCCGATCGCGGCGAAAAAAGAACTTGCGGTTTGTATCGGGCCAAAAATCGTCGGCTCCACCGCCATAAACCCACGACCGCACCGGACGTCGGTTGCCGCTCGTCCACCGTGCGAACCCGCGTGCGATGCCCGTCATGAACTTTGGCGCCCAAGACATCGAGAACCACATGAGCGGCCTCGGCCGCCTGGCCGCGCTCTGCGAGATGGGGTACCGTCGTCGTCGCCGAGCTGCATGCATGGCCGCTCACGCCGCAGCTGCATAGGTCCGACTCGAGCGGCGACGAGAGCGAAGGCGTGCGCCGCCCGCCCAGCGGCGACCGCACACAAGAGCTCACAGACTACGTGCTCACGACGATGCGCCAGCTCGCGCGCATTAGCGCCGGCCTCTCGGCGCTCGTGCCGGGCTCCCAGCAGCAGACCGCGGCCGCCGGGCTCATGCACACGGCCAGCGCGTCGCCCGAGTCGACCGGTCGGCTCTGGAACACGCTGCATAAATTAAACGCGACGGCCGACACCATCGTCGACGCGGTCCAAGCCGGCGACATCACGCTGCAGGCGCTCGATCTGACGTTATTGCCGCCGGACCCGTCCATGGCGCTCGAGACGATCAACGTCAAGCTCCTCTCGGCGCAAAAGAAAATCTACCAGCGCACCGCGAGCGACCACCTCCTGCGCACGACGCACAGCGTCCTCGACGACGCGTGGCAAAAGGGCGAAATGGTCGCGCTCGAGGCGGCGCGCCGGTCGCTCAGCGCATGGCGCACGTCGGCCGCCGACCTCAAAACCAAAGTCGCATCGGCGCTCGCGAGCCCCGACACGAGCCCTCTCGAGGTCCTCCAGAACGTCCAGGACTTTCTCAGCTCGCTCACCGTGTGCAAGCTCAACGCTGAGGCGCCCACCGAGGCCGACATCCAGTTCAAGGCGACGACGCTCGAAGAGCACGTCGGCCGACTGCAGGCCAGCATCGTTGCGTCCATGTCATCCTCCACCGCTGGTATTCACTTGCTCTCAGAGTCGTCATACGATCGATCAACCTTGGCGTAGGGCCGCGCGCCAAGCACACTGAGGGCCGGAAGCGCCCGCTTTCCAAGCACCTTGTCGAGCCCATCGCCGTCGAGAAGCGCCGGCGCCCGTCGACGTCACCCTATGCGCTGCCCAACCGCAAGCCGGCGGCCGAGACGCCGTCGCATCTCCAGGGTGTACGCACGTACGTGCCAACGAAAACGTAGTCGACGCGACCTTATATCGTCGTCTCACGCCTCTATCTCTAGCGCCGATGGAGACGAGTACGTCAAGGAGGCAACTGACGACGGCAGCGCCGTCGACGCCGCACCGGTCGGGGCCGCGACGCCGATCGGGTGCGAGATCTGTCATGAGAACAACGCCCACGAGCAAATGCTCTTGTGCGACAACAACTGCGGCCACGGTACCTTCTTCCTGCCCTATGTCCTCTGACGTCGCGTCGTCGATGTTGGTAGAGTACCATCTCTTTTGTCTCAACCCGCCGCTCGAGGATATCCCGGAAGGCGACTGGTTTTGCCCGAGCTGCGAGCAAAATTTGTGCTTGGCCCAGAAATGCAAGCGCGTCTGCGTGCTCTCGCGCAAGTACTGCAGCCGCCACCTCTGCAAGGACGGCTCGTGCGGCTTCCGCGCCAAGAAGGCGGGCTACTGCGGCAAGCACGCCAAATTGCTTCTGCGCTACGAGTCGGACGACGACCTCGACTCGGACATGGGCCGATAGATGAGCTTTGTGTGCGTGTATATATGAAAAAGCTGACGAGCAAACGAGGTGGACGTGCTATCCCGTGGTGCAATGGAATAAAATAGGATGAGAAAGAGGGTCACTTGGCGAGCGCCAAGGTGCGCTTCTGGGACGTATCGTGGCGACGGCAATACCCGCGCCCGCGCAGACGAAAGTCGCACCCGTGGAAGCGACAGCTGTGCACGATGCAGTACCGACGCGAGCTCTTGCGCTTGCAGTGGAGCGCGGCGCAGACCTCGATCGTGGGCGACCCCGAGCACGACGGACATGGCCATGGCTTCTTGGGCGTGTGCTCGAGACCGACGCAGAAGCGGTGGACCACTGAATGGACGACGCATGATGGTTGGGAAGCTGAAAGATCAAGTACCTTTGCCACAGGTGGCATTGCAACACGAAAGGAGTGGCGCGTCGTGCTGCTCGAGACCGCACAGATAGCAGCGTGATGGGTCGAACGGGTCGCTGAACTCGTCGTCTGCGTCCTCGTGCTTGACATCGTCGTCGCTTGGCTCGTCTTCCGGCTCCAACTTGCGTTTTTTCGATAATGCGGCGAACGACCGCGCAACCCGTGGAGGGGTGCGCACGAGGGGACTCGCAATCTGCGCCGATGCGAGGCGTAGCGCCGTAAAGTGGTCGTGTTGCTGCGCGACAGTGTTTGGGCGCAGCGATCGGGATGCCCCCTCGGTCCGCGGTGGCGTTACCGGTGGGAAGCTACAGATCTGGATGGACGCCGCAAAGTCGAGGCAGCGCTGCAGAATGCGGTCGTCAGTAAAGATGAATCCATTCGTCTCGACGAGCTCCTCGAGTTTGTCCTTGATCTCGCCGGCCACGACCTTCCAATGGCGCACGCGGTTCGCCAGCGCTTCTTGTGCCGAGGCTGGGGCAGGCTTGTGGCCGAGCTCGACTTTGAGGCCGTCGCCAGCACGGGTCGCCGGTGTCGTAGGTCGCTCATCGTCTGTGCTCGGGCTAGCCTCGAAGCGTCGCCCGGCGCGGCGCAGGCCCTTCTTCCCAAGGCTGCGCGCCTTGAGCGGCCGAGCGTCCGAGTCGTACTCGACGTCGACGACCGCGTCCGGGCTGCTCGTGTAGCTCTCGTCGTAGGCGCGGCCGATGGCCATGATGCTCTCGAGGACGTCGTACTCGGTGCCCGGCGACCCTACGTGGCGCAGCCGCGTCGCCAGCGGCGCCTCCTGGCTCGAGACCTCTGCGAGCTGCTCCAGCGCTGTCATCGGTCGGTCGCAAATTCCACACTGAAGATCGCGCGGTGAAATTAAGCTTGGGCTTAGTATACTTTCCGTATCCGGACGCGGGCGCCGGATACCGCAAAACGGTTTCAACTCTTTCGCACACTATTTAACAGTGTCATCATGTCACATCTCGCCAGCCGTGTTGCGAGCGTCGCTGGGTGGAGCGACGAGGTGTCGAGCACACCTACCCCATAAAGAGTACGTAGCATTTTACTATCGTATTTCTAGTGCTGCACCATGGCTCGACTGTTCGGAGCCTCCGCCAAGTCGTGTGGCGCCAAAGGAGGCGTTGAATTGAATTCTCACACTATTTCAAGATGGAGAATTTCCAGGCGCCAGAATCTGCGAAACGTCGCGGCCAGCATGAAGCAGCCGGGGCAGCGCGGTGATGACAACCAAGCCGACGAGATGATCGAGACGAGCAGTCGAAGCCGGGTAGAGGTCAGCAGTCGAAGCCGGGTAGAGATCAGCAGTCGAAGCCGGGTAGAGACCTGCGACCACCTGGAGGCCAGCGCGCATGGCCACCACGAGGTCGAGATCGAGCTCGCGACCATGTCCTCGACCTGCGGTCCGGCGTACACGCAGCTCCGAACGCCTCGACCAAGCACGGACGCGTCGATGCTTCCCGAAGACGACGAAGCGTCGCGATCTGCTGGCAGCAAGGTATGTGGTGGGCAGAGAGCCTTCCTCATGCTCTTGCTGACTCTGTAGATGGGCGCAGCGCGGCCTCGTACGCACCTCCTACCTGCTTGTCATCCAATGGCTTCGTCATGCGTACATGCATAGAGGCTTCCCATCAGCTGCGCATCGACTGCTCTTCGACGCAGTACGAGACCACTCCGGCGCCCGATGCTAATGGCTTGACGACGGACCGCGTGTACCGCGAGCGCTCGCAGCGGGGCATGACGCTGGTGTACGCGCCGACGATCCGCGAGCAGCTGCAAGCCCACATGACGAGGTAGCACTGCCTTCGTCTCCAGCTTGTAAGAATGTTATGTTGCGTGTAGCCGTGTTGGTGTCTACCTCGAGCTCATCAACACGTCGTTCAGCGTCCTCTGCTGCCTCTTCTACCTCTTCCAGGTACGACATCTCGAGCATCACTGTCATCTCTCATGTACTCCCAGCTCTACGCACCAACAATGTACGACGCGCTGCAGATCCAAGTCGTCGAGATCACACTCACGTGTTACTTTGCGTTGCATTATGTATGTTTGCCTTTGGCTCATTTGCCTGTGGTATTCACGACATGCGTAGCTCGTACACTTCTACACGACCGAGGACGTGTGGCAGTTCGTCTTGTCGATGAACGGCGTCATTGACGTCATCACGATCGTACCGGCGTTTATCATGGTACTCTAGTTTCCAGTCTCTAGAACTCTAATTTTTGCTAGTTTTTGAGCACAACCCAAAACTCGAAAGCGCTCACAATCTTCCGCGTCTTCCGCGTCTTTCGGGCGCTGCGCGTGCTTCGGCTCTACCGTCTCATTCGCAGCCGCAAGCACGGATACAACTACGAGGTCGAGTCGACGACATGTGCTGTCGCATCTCATGTTCGAGGTGCAGTGGGGTGTCTTTACGTTCTCGATCTGCGCCATCATCTTTGTCGCGGCCGGCATCTTCCAGGCGCTCGAAGACTACCCCGAGCGCACTCGGAACATCGAGTTCCACGACGCCCTGTACTTTATCCTTGTCACGTTGGCCACGATTGGTGCGTATACATGTGTACTATCTCTCGTCAACCAAGCAACGGGGTAGGGTACGGGGACATTGTCGCGACGACGACCTTGAGTGAGGTCTTTGTGATGGGGCTCATCGTGGCGGTCGTGACAGTCGTCCCGGGCCAGCTCACGCGCCTCAACGCACTTCACAAGCCGCGCTACGCCCACGACGACGCGTACCGAGGCCGTCCAAAGAAGAGCCACGTCGTAGTCTCGGGGCACATTGCCCACGAAGCCTTTGCGGACTTTCTCACCGAGTTTTACCACCCGAGTCGCGGCGTCGTGGACTTTGACGTGGTTGTGCTTGGGCGTGACGCGCCCTCGGACGTCATGACGCGCCTCCTTGGCAACGTCGCGTACGCCGCCAAGACGACGTACCTCAAAGGCTCGTTGATGCTCGAGAAGGACCGGTCTCGTGTTCACCTGGAGAACGCGGAGGCGGTGTTTGTGCTCGCGAACCGCCAGTCGGCCGACCACGCGGCCGAAGACGCCTCGACGCTGCTCCAGGCGCTCAGCGTGCGCAACTACGCCGACAGCACCGGCCGGCGCGTGCGCACGTATCTGCAAATGATTGCTGACGCGCACCACGACCTCTCGCACATCATTGGCGCCACGCAGACGCTGCATACGAACCGCATGAAGGACGACATTGTGGCGCGTGGCACCGTGTGCCCCGGGGCCTGCGCGCTCATTCTCAACCTCATCCAGTCGATCGACGAGAAAAAGTACCAAAAGCACATTCTCGGGCCCGCGCCGTGGATCCAAGAGGTACATGGTTGATATATTGATACTGTGGTTGATACGATTGTCTGTAGTACATTGGCGGCATGAGCCGGCAAATTTACGCCATTGTCTTTTCCGAAGCGTTTGACGGCCACCTCTTTCAAGACGTAGCGCGGCGCGTCTACCACGGGTACGACGCTCGCAAATGTGAATCCCAGCATATTCGCATCGGTAGGTTTGAGAGCATTTTGCTGGCGGTGTACCGCCGCGACAAAGACGAAGGCCATCCCCGCGTGTGTTTGGGTCCGTTTCACAAGCCGATTCTTGAAGGGTGCGCTCGTGTCGTCGAGGTTTAGTATGTACTGGGATGTACTACTGTAGGGACATTGGCTTTGTCGTCGCGTCGTCCTCGTACGTCGTGCACCAGATCCTCGCCGACTATAGTATGCTGGTGCACAACGAAGCCGAAGACGCTTCGTCCCGATCGCGTTCGACGTCGTTCCGGCATCACCCGCTGATTTCAACCAATAACCTACTCCACCGGCAGTCGCCGCTGCACCAGCGCCTCAGCCAGTCGATTCGGTCGCCAACCGACCAAGGGAGCTTTGGCTTTGAGTCGGTCATGTCGCTGGACGAAGCCATTCGCCACGCGACGAAGAAGGCGACTAAGTCACTCACGCAACACGTCGTGCTCTGCGGGTCCCTTCGTCATATCGTGCCCGTCATCCATCGTCTTCGGCGTATGTACTATCAGCTTGACGGTCAGTACCCGTCGCTCGTGCTGCTTTGTGACACGGCGCCGACACCTCATGACTTTCCACCCGACTATGCGCTGCCAAGTCACGTGCATTTTGTCATTGGGAGCTCGTTGCGGTGCGCCGATCTCGTCCGCGTCGGCGCGCCCAACGCCAAAGCCGTCCTTCTCTACCCGTACGACTCGCAACAGCACTTTCGAAACGAGAGCAGCACCGACGAGAGTAGCGACACCACCACGTGTCTCCTCGACTACGGCGTCGTGACGTCGCTTCTGTGCTTGGAAACAGCCAGCGACCTCGCGCATGTCGCGCTCAACGCCGAGTCAGCGGCGGCCCAAGACGACTTGGTGTTTTACGCCTCAAACCGCGTGCCGCTCTCGGCGGTGCAAGATCACCTGGTATGCCACTACCCAAATTTGAACCCAGCGCTCTTCCGCGGTACGTCGTCGATCCAGAGCATGAGCGCGCGGTTACGGCAACACTCGGCGGCCGAGACGCCCGAGTCCCACGAAGTGCCGTGCGTCGCGGTCCTCACGCGCGGCAGCAACATCAAGTTTTGCCGCCCGCGCGACGTCCACGTGTGTGCGGACGACCTTCCGTACCTGGCGCCGGCGTACGCTGCCGGGCGCGTCTTTGTCGACAGCCGTCTCGACTTGCTCTTGTGCCAAGCGTTCTACAACCCGTACATCACCGAAGTCATCCACGCGCTTGCGGGCTCCGAGTCGGACGCGCCGATTTTGCGCTTGGTGGAGCTGCCATCGGCGCTTGTCGGGCTCACGTTTGGGGACTTGGTGCTGCGTATGCTCTCGAGCGACGCGATCGTCCTCGGGCTCTACCGGTGTCCGCACAAGCGCCTTGGCAATTTGCTACCGTACGTGTACACGTCGCCGCCCCGCGAGACCCGCCTACACTCGAAAGACAAGGTGTTTCTTCTTGCGCGCGAGGCCACCGTCCCCTAACCCTCATTTCACTGATTAAGGTATTGGCGATAGCCACTATATTGCCGTGCTATATTGTCGCGAGAATATGGACAACTACTTCTTCTTGGTCTTGGAAGGCGCCGCGGGCTTGGGTGGTGGCGCGGCCTTGGCGGCGGGTTTTGCGGCCGGCTTTTTAGCCCCACCCCCCGAGCGCTATACGCACCAATCATTGGTCATTATGATGCAACGACTTGATACATTGATACCTCGGACTTTTCCTTGCAGTAAGGAATGTGGCGCTCGGCTGCCTTATCGTTGAAGCGGCGCGAGCAGTACGAACACTGAATCAAACTCGAGTCGACCTCGGCGGGTTTTGGCGGCGGCAGTGCTCTACGCGTGTAGTGGGTTAGAAGGCTGGCGGTTGATATGTTGATATGTTGGTACCGGCCCTCCTTCTTCGCTTGCTCGTACTCGCGACTGCCCTTAATCGCATCTCGGAACGCATTGCTCTTCTTCTTCCAGTCGTCCTTCTTGGCCTTGATGGCTTGCTCCTCCTTGGAGAGCGCTTTGGCGTTGGGCGCGGTCACGGCCTTGAGCGACATGCCCTTCTCTTGCAAAAGCTTCTCGACTTCTGTGCCTTTGAGACGCGCCGCCTATGGACAATATTGTCCATTTTCCATGTTTTCATGCAATTCTCGTTTACCGCCATGTTGAAGACTTTTTTGGGGCCCGAAAACACTTTTTTGCAAATTTTCTACCATTTTCAGACTAAGTTGCTTGCAATGCGATGCATTATGTACCTGGTGCTTGGCAAACGCGGTCGCATTGAACCGGCGCTGGCAGTCGGGACACGTGTGGTTGGCGCCGTCGTCCTGCACTTCGCTCTCCTAAACAAATCGACGTTGAGTGCATTCATCCAGCGCTCTACATCGCGTACGCCGTCAGGGACACCGGAAAAGACGTTGGACGATGCAGCCATGGGTGGATCTTCCTGCACGACGCGGGCTGGCGGCGCTCGCACGGGCAGCGGCTTGGTCGGCGGGTCCCGGGCCGAGTGCATGACCTGGCGAGGTTTGTCTTCGTCGACAAACATCGAGGCTGCATGCGTCGGGGCACTGCGGCTCTTTCGACGCGACATTTTCGACTAGATACATCTTAGTGGCTATGAAATAAGATGTGAGGTACCTTGAGCAAGATGAGCGAGCTCTGGTCCACGGTCTATTCATGGGGCGCGTGATGTTACGAGGCCGGCAGCGACGATGAGAAGTACGGTGTCGGCTGCGGGCGCCGGCTTCATTTGCCGCTGGCGCGCCAATGGCGCTGGTGTTGCGCTTGGGTCGCACTGGCGGCACGTGCACGACGAGTTGCGAAGACACTCGGCGGGAGGCGCGGCCGCCGCCTTGGGCTTGGATTCGCGTGGTATCGCTTTGCCTGTGCGAGATTTGAGCTCGTGCGAGAGCGCGTCGTGCTCTGCACCAAGACGACAATAAGAAAATGCAGTCGGACCGATCACGTACGAGGTTCTTCGGGCTCGGGCAGCGGCGCGGCCTTGGATTTCGACGTGGGCCGAGAGTAGTTCCCGGCGAGCGAGTCGAGCGAGTCGGACGAGTCGTTGGCGTGGACGCGCTGGTTGTTTGGCTTGCGCAGCGTGCTGGCTTGGCGCTTGGGCGGCGATGGCGGCGGGCTCGCGTCACGCTGCGCAGTGGCCTGAAACTTGGACTTGATCGGCGGCGACGGCGGCGGCTGCGTCGCATTAAACTTGGATCGGATTGGTGGCGACCCGGGTGGCGCCGACGTCGACTGCTCTTCGTGGTTGTTGTCGGCTTCGCGGCGCGGATTGACTCTACGCGAGCGCTCAGACATGGCAGACGAAGCGACGTCATGCATCTTACTTGGGCGCAAAGGTGCAGGCCTCGTTGACGACGCCACGCTGGCGCGCATCGCGGAGCTCCTTGGCGCGCTCCTTGGCTGCGAGCTGCTTCTTAGCGTGGTCCGTTGGGTCGTACCGGATCTTGGACTCGCCGCGCTGCATGTTCTGCCCGTCCGCCGAACAACTACTGTCGTTTCGAGGATATTTCTGGTCGATTCAACCGACCACAACCGGCCTTTCTAACCGTCTGGCCAACCGGCTGTTGCGTCGGTTATTGCACGCGAGCGTGCCACGTCAGTGCAATGTGCCACCTCGATCGGTATCATCCTGGTTGCGAGCACTAGATCCATACATTGACCCATGATCCCTCCTTCTTTCGAGTGAGGAATGCCACAACGTCCATTGTATCGATATGAGTAGTAGGAGGTGTGCGATGTCAAGTTGGTTGTTGGGCCAATAAGTCATCAACAATACATAGAGTAAAAGTGTTGTGTTGTCATTAGATTTAGATAATTACATGTAGTGGAGAGACTATTAAATGTTAAGCCGCTGCATGTTGATGTCAGTGAAGGCACATGGAGACACCGCCAGCGCACGCATCGTCGGTGCCATGCCGCGTGCAAATGCGACCAGCGGCATCGCCATGTTGAAGATTTGCCGACCAGTGCGAGGGCCGACGATCTCGAGCGCCCGAATAGAGCTGCGCTCAAAAATGGCTTCGGACAAGCCAGCAGCGAGCGCCGTCTCGACGTCAAAATCGCGCAGCGTCACGCGGACGAGAGCGGGGTGCACCTTGATGAAGAAGAAGTGCACCAGCGCCCGGAGCACCGGGTCGGAAGCTGCCAAGCGCGACGAGGGGGCTCGGGCAAAGAAGTGCCCGCCTGAAGCGTCCGCGCGTGTCGTATGATGACGGAGGACGACAATGCCATCATGTATGTTGGCTCAAAGGTGGCGCGTGTAGGCCCTTTGGGAAGGCGTTTGCCCGGACAGGCAGTGCCTTCGTGTTGCGTGTGCCAAGGCCGTCGATAGTCGTATGGTGCAGAACGAAGCAAAAGCGAATGTGGCGCCGAGTGGCAGTCCAAGCCAAGGTCAATTCGATTTCTACCAGTACTGCAGCTCGCCAGCCCCCACTCACCGAGCGTCCGGACACCCTGACGATCGCGGATTGGCCGTTTCTAACGCGTCATTTTGTATGTTGCTCCATCTCGCCATCGAAAGAAGCTAGCGTCACGAGCTATATGTGCGACGAGCGCAGCCGTTTTGTCGCCGGACGTCCTCGCAGGTGGTGTGACCGCACCACATTTACCATTCGCTCACTCCGCCACCGTGGACCACAGAAGCCACCACCCAATCACGGTATTCCAGCCACATTCTCAACCAGTCGGTCTATGGACTAGATACATGACATAGTGTGCGTTAAAACTACTAGCAACCCACGACTCTTACGCCATCAAGGGCGACGCCAGCGGACCGCTCTTGCCACCCGAGCGCGCGACAACGCACGACATGACGAGCAGGACGAGCGCCGCGATCGCAAAGATGAGCGCGCCGATCGCAATCTTGTTGGCAAACGACTTGAAGAGGTCGAGGACCGCCGGGCGGCACTTGGGGTACACGACGTCAGTGGCCTTGTCGTACTTGTTGGTCTGAATATAAGAGAGGCACCACGACGCCGACGACGTTGTGAGCGGGCAGTTGTCCTGGCCCCACTTGTAGAGGTCCGAGAAATCAATGTGCGTCGACGTCTGGCACGCCGCGCAGACCGTCTGGAGCTTCTTCATGTCGAGGCCGACGAGCGTGCTCGACGCCGTCGCATTGATGTTCTCGCACGCGCCCTTGAGGCCGATCTGGTCGTTGGCGTTGAGGTTGAAGGCTGAGACAATGGACGAGAGCACCGGCGACGACGAGAGCGAGAACATGCTAATGGCGTCGCCGAGGCTGCCAGCCACGCAGTAGTGGTCGACCATGACGCTGCAGTAGGCCGAATCAAAAGCCTCGGCGACCGAGACCTCGGCGTCCTCGGCCGGGAACGTCGCGTCGTCCCACTTGTTGGCGGTCGACGCACCGGCAAAGCCCGTGATCGTGATGAGGACAAAGAGGGCGAGCGCGACAAACACGAAGAACGCGTAGGTGTAGAGGAGGCACTTCTGGCGCTTGATGGCGCCGA